GAGAGAAAATCAACACAAATAATTTTTTACACGCTTGAAACATAATTCAGGCATTAAGGGGTTAAGTCTTAAGTTTAGTTTTTCTTGCTAGATCTAGAATCTAGATCTAGATCTAATCATTAGGCCCGGAGCGAGCATTTCAAAATTACCATATTCCAAACAAAGATTTATATAAAATAATAAAGGTCTAAAATAGTTTAGTATATAGAAAATCATTATTATATAAATCTAGAAAGAAAATTATCTATATTTTAGATCTACGACTGAGCTATATTTAGAATTTACGTTTATAATTTAGCAAAATTACCGGCATCTAAGCCGCGTATGAATCTTAAGCTACACCAATAGGCCCGGGAGCGAGCATTTCAAAATTACCATATTCCAAACAAAGATTTATAAAAAATAATAAAGGTCTAAAATAGTTTAGTATATAGAAACTCATTATTATCTAAAACTAGATAGAATTATCTATATTCTAGATCTACGACTGGTTTGCTTAAGTCTCGTTTTTTTAAATTGTATTTATAACTAATAAATCTTTGATTTGACCTAGATCTAGATTGTCCTAGATTCTAGATTTTAGATCTAGACCTATAAATAACTTTCTTGGACAGATTTTAGATCTAGAGAAATTTATCGTAAAACTAAATGAAAAAGACAGTTGAGAATTGATATAAGTGTTGGAACGTAATAAATATAGTAAACGGACGTATTGTTAAAGTTATGACCGACAGAAAACTAGATTTAGAACGCGTTAAACTTGTGAATGGGAACACAATTTTCTTCGATAGATGCCGCCATTTTATTGTACTAAAGAGTAAACAAAAACCTGTGACGTCACGGTCCCGCCGAGTGTAGTGGTCGTTTTAATCTTTTTAAAAAAATAGGGTTACTCTACGTATGAATAAATCAATAAACTAATTAACGTCTTTAAATAGATGTTTGATTAACAGTCTGTCTGCATTAAAAAAATATTCTCTACCTACATACTATTTTACAGCTCTCCAGATAGAGTAGAACATATCACAATACTCGATCGGACAAACAAAAAAACAAACAAAAAAAACAAACAAATAAATATTCAAACATGTAAACCAACTTGAGTTTTAGTAGTATACTAGACTACCCGTCATCCGTTGGATAACTGTGGGTTTCGGGGGTCATCCATCAAAAAACATCACGTCTGTCACTCAGAGGCATAGCGACCCTTCCCGGCGCCCGGGGACAAACTTTTCGATTTGAACCCCCCCCCCCCCCCGCAAGATTTCGATTTGCAACCCCCCCCCCCCTCAAACTTTTGATGTGCACCCGCCCCCCCCCTCAAACTTTCGATTTGCACCCCCCTCAACATTTCAATTTATTTTTCCAACCCATTTTGGCGCCCCCTAAGGTCGGCGCCCGGGGACATATGTCCCCCACCCGCCCCCCCCCCCCCCTCCTCGCTACGCTACTGCAGTGTCACTTATCGTCACAAAAAAAAACAGACCCCACATTCAAAAATATGTTTTTTATCTTTTAAAAACACCGAAAACACCGATTTCGGACTATCCCTTCATATACTGACGTCACAGGTGACCTGCTCAACTCTACTTCACCTGCCCAGTGTCCCGCCAAGTCTCAGACAACATGTTTTTATCGTTTAAAAAACGATTCCAGCCGAGCATGTCTCTGACCACACTATCCCTTCATATGCTTAGGACAAAGAAACAGATGAACCCTACTTCACCTGCCCTGTGCCCCGCGAGGTCCTGATAGTCAACCTTATCATTCACATATAGTGCTTAAGAAAAAATAATTGAAAACGTAAAAAAAAAAAAAGTTCTATTAGTTTTTATGACACTGACTTTAAAATTCAGCCTTCATTCTCCAAAGCAAATTTTAAAATGCTTTTCTGGCATATCTAGCCCTGGCCACCTATACCATGTTTAAATAATGTGAACACCCGCCATTTTGCTCGTGGTAAACATGGCCTAAAAATGGTCGGAAGTCATGCGTCCGGTCCGGACGCCATATTGTTTTTAGCAGCCGACCACGCGTCCAAGTTAGTGAGTAATCCTACTATATCTAGATATAGAACCTAGATTAAAAAAATCCCATGTATTCTCGAATTAGATGATCATTGAAGCTAAACAAAGATTTATATAAAATAATTAAGGCCTGAAATAGATTCTAGATGTAGAATTTACATTAAGTCTAGATCTAGAATTTTCATTGAGTCTAGAGTGACCTAGATCTAGGCTAGATCTAGATCTAGAATCTAGGCTAGATTCATAGCTTTCCTTCGACAGCTGATCTTTAGATCTAGAGAAATTTATTGTAAAACTAAATGAAAAAAGGCAGTTAAAAATTTATATAAGTGTTGAAACGTAATAAATACAGCAAACGGACGTATTGTTAAAGTTATGACCGACAGAAAATACTATTTAGAACGCGTTAAACTTTTGAATGGGAACACAATTTTCTTCGATAGACGCCGCCATTTTATTGTACTAAAGAGTAAACAAAAACTGTGACGTCACGGTCTCGCCGAGTGTAGTGGTCGTTCTAATCTTTTTAAAAAAAATAGGGTTACTCTACGTATGAATAAATCAATAAATTAATTAACGTCTTTAAATAAATGTGTGATTAACAGTCTGTCTGCATTAAAAAATTATTCTCTACCTACATACTATTTTACAGCTCTCCAGATAGAGTAGAAAATATCACAATAGTCAATCAGCCAAACAAAAAAACAAACAAAAAAAAGAAAGAAATATTCAAACATGTAAACAAACTTGACTTTTAGTAGTATACTAGAATACCCGTCATCCGTTGGATAACTGTGGGTTTCGGGGGTCATCCATCAAAAAACATCACGTCTGTCACTCAGAGGCATAGCGACCCTTCCCGGCGCCCGGCAACAAACTTTTCGATTTGAATCCCCCCTCGCAAGATTTCGATTTGCACCCCCCCCCCTCAAACTTTTTATGTGCACCCCCCCTCCCCACTCAAACTTTCGAATTGAACCCCCCTCAACCTTTCAATTTATTTTTCCAAACCATTTTGGCGCTCCAACATGTCCCCCCCCCCGCCTCCCCTCCCCCTCCCGCCCCCCCCCCCCCTCCTCGCTACGCTACTGCAGTGTCACTTATCGTCACAAAAAACAGACCCCACATTCAAAAATATGTTTTTTATCTTTTAAAAACACCGAAAACACTAATTTCGGACTATCCCTTCATATACTGACGTCACAGGTGACCTACTCAACTCTACTTCACCTGCCCAGTGTCCCTCCAAGTCTCAGACAACATGTTTTTATCGTTAAAAAAAACGATTCCAGCCGAGTATTTCTTTGACCACACTATCCTTTCATATGCTTAGGACAAAGAAACAGATGAACTCTACTTCACCTGCCCTGTATCCTTCCAAGTTCAGACAATTATATCATTCACATCTAAAAAAAAAAATTGAAAAAAAAATATCATTGACATATTGGTCTAGAACCTGTGCCACCCGCAGAAGAGCCCGCTACACTACCAACTTAGCTATTTACTCGTGACGTCACAAGTGAATTTTTATACTATACTTTGAGTCTCCTTATGCAACTTGATTTACGCGCATAGATCTAGATCTAAGTCTAGTAGTAGTAACTTTCAAATTAAATTTTATCTTAAATTAGCCAAACAAAGATTTATATAAAATAATTAAGGCCTGAAATAGATTCTAGATGTATTAAGGCCTAAAATAGATTCTTGATGTAGAATTTACATTACGTCTGGATCTAGAATTTACATTGAGTATAGTGACCTAGATCTACAGCTCTCCAGATAGAGTAGAACATATCACAATACTCGATCGGACAAACAAAAAAACAAATAAATATTTAAACAGGTAAACAAACTTGACTTTTAGTAGTATATAGATAGATAGATGTAGATGTAGATGTAGATGTAGATGTAGATGTAGATGTAGATGTAGATGTAGATGTAGATGTAGATGTAGATGTAGATGTAGATGTAGATGTAGATGTAGATGTAGATGTAGATGTAGATGTAGATGTAGATGTATATGTAGATGTAGATGTAGATGTAGATGTAGATGTAGATGTAGATGTAGATGTAGATGTAGATGTAGATGTAGATGTAGATGTAGATGTAGATGTAGATGTAGATGTAGATGTAGATGTAGATGTAGATGTAGATGTAGATGTAGATGTAGATGTAGATGTAGATGTAGATGTAGATGTAGATGTAGATGTAGATGTAGATGTAGATGTAGATGTAGAGTTAGAGGTAGATGTAGATGTAGATGTAGATGTAGATGTAGATGTAGATGTAGATGTAGATGTAGATGTAGATGTAGATGTAGATGTAGATGTAGATGTAGATGTAGATGTAGATGTAGATGTAGATGTAGATGTAGATGTAGATGTAGATGTAGATGTAGATGTAGATGTAGATGTAGATGTAGATGTAGATGTAGATGTAGATGTAGATGTAGATGTAGATGTAGATGTAGATGTAGATGTAGATGTAGATGTAGATGTAGATGTAGATGTAGATGTAGATGTAGATGTAGATGTAGATGTAGATGTAGATGTAGATGTAGATGTAGATGTAGATGTAGATGTAGATGCAGATGCAGATGTAGATGTAGATGTAGATGTAGATGTAGATGTAGATGTAGATGTAGAGGCAGATGTAGATGTAGATGTAGATGTAGATGTAGATGTAGATGTAGATGTAGATGTAGATGTAGATGTAGATGTAGATGTAGATGTAGATGTAGATGTAGATGTAGATGTAGATGCAGATGTAGATGGAGATGGAGATGGAGATGGAGATGGAGATGGAGATGGAGATGGAGATGGAGATTGAGATGGAGATGTAGATGTAGATGTAGATGTAGATGTAGATGTAGATGTAGATGTTGATGTTGATGGAGATGGAGATGGAGATGGAGATGGAGATGTAAAAGTCGTATCAATTAATATACTAAAAAATACTAAAATCACAACTTACTGGCATTTCATCCCACTGGGGCAATTATATGGTTTTTTAAAACAATAGATTCTTTTGCTTGTATTACATCTAAATATAGAAATATAGAATTAAAATGGCAATTACAATACTAATGAATAAGCTCATGTGTTATTAATATTGGTGCTATTATTTAATATGTTTTGTTCTAATATAATTAATTTAATAATGAATAGTAAAATGAAACAAAAACTAAATTGATACAAAAATATTTGGATGTAATTTTGATTGTCGATATAATATTATATTGTTCAACAAAAAGCTTGAAAAGTCTATGTAATAATTCAATTTTTTGAAATCTTAAAAAAATATTGCAAGCGATAAAATTATAGTTACATGATAGTGTGTAAAAATTAAAGATCTTTAAGAACATCAATTACACTCTTTTTCATACTTTTGTATTGAATATAAGCAGATGATGACAAGCAAATTGCCAGAAAGACTAAAACAAAGAGAGTCACCACAATTGTTTTCTTTGATAAAATACCCAATAGTAGTCACTAGGGTATAGCCTAGTAGTTTATATTAAATAATACAACATCAACTATCACCATAAAACCCTGACTCTGCTGATCCAAATTAAAAATATAAGTGTTAGCTAAATTACTATTATAGTACTAGTCAGAGGCGTCGCGAGAAGGGGAGGGGGCGGACCGCAGCGGGTGAAACCATATGGGGGGGGGGGTTGACACCAAGGCAAAAATAGGAAAATATATATAAAAAAAACACCATTCAGTTAAATAATTGATTAATTAGAGTTAAAAAGTAATTTAATTAAGAGCAAAAGTGACTAATCCCGAAAAGGGTGTGTGTGTGGGTGGTGGAATGGGGTTGGGGAAGGGGGGGGGGTGACACCATGACGTAAACCTGCTAACTATTTAGTAAATTATACTACACTCAGCTGTATTTATAACCGACTATTGATCAACATTGTTAGTATTATATGTGCACAGTTTAAAGTTATCACCGACAGAGTTTCTTCAAGCCCCCCCCCCCCGAAATTTTTTTATCGCCTTTCCCCCCCCCCTCCAAACGAAATAATATTTATATAATTTATATAGAAAATATATACATTTTACAGTGTCCGCCTCCCCCGGAGAAAGTCTACCGCCCCCACCCCCCCCCCCCCCGAAAATTTCAAGTTTACCCCCCCCCCCCCCCGAGAAATAAGTCTGGAAGAAACGCTGATCACCGAATGGAGGGGGAGGGGGATTGACACCAACTAAACGTTGCAAATTTGCCCTGAGGAAAAATACTTTCTTGAGAATTGTAATAAGTTACACGTCAATTCATGTCTGGGGTGGGGGGAGGGGAGTGACACCACATTTAATAATTTTCTACAACTTGAATTAATTACTGTTAGAGTTAGGAATCTAAATAATTTTTCTAGGTGGATTAATATATGACTATATGTAATGTTTGCACACATTTCAAGTAATTTTTATACAATTAGTATAAAGTAATGATTTGTTTGAATATTTCTAGCCTTAATAAAACCAAAAGTTATTTTGTACTTAATTCGCAAATGTCATTAAATATTCAATTTCGGTTGAAAAATATGTTTTATGGCAACAACCTTTTAGAACCTGCTTTCAATGCAACACTTTTAATTTCTGGTGTATACACACTTACGCGTTGGCATAGGCAACCATAAGGAGAATAAGGAAAAACCAAAGCTTCATTTCTTGTTGGAATGAGGCTGAAACAAATCAAATTTGTAATTTTAAGAAAGCTGTTTAAAGAGAGCGTTGTGTTGACAACTAATCGTCGAAATTGAACTCATCTATTCGTCTTTTTTTTAACAAGCCTTTCGGTAGAACATAAGGGGACATACCTCCCCCCCCCCCACATAACATTTAAGTAAAAGATCTAATTCTCTGCATTCCTTAAAATTTTTAGTGATTTCCGTTGACCGGAAGTAGAAATTTACGCTATTTCCGAGTTCGCAAAAAAACGCATGTGACCAACTTACCAGCCCTATTAAGCATAAACACAACATAACATTAGAAAATGGGGCAATGGCTGCCAGGCTTACGTGGGTGTAAATAAAGAGAGACGCTTGATACTGAGTCCGATGGAGATATGTGGTTGCAGCCCTGTGTACCTCAGGGTTAACAAAGGAACAAGTCAATACTTCATAACATATAAAAAAGCATACACTGGAATTTCTAAGTAAGTATAAACATCAACAACCATTTAGATGAGGCGCACATTTTTACTTTCTCGTATATACTAAGTATAGAGAAAGTCTTGTAATCGTGCAAAAAAAAATAAACCGGGAGTGATCTCCCCTAAACTTTCTCGAATATTCTAATATAACACTACGGGGGATGGCAACTCGTGGCAACTCGGGATATAGACTCGGGTTGATGAAATTTCATATATAAGTATTTAATCAAAACCGTAGATCCGTATCAACTTTTGAGCGATTTCCGATAACCGGAAGTGGTACTTTTCCTACTTTGAATTTTTCAAAAGCCTATAACTTGAGTACTATTTCAGATAGATAAATGAAATTTCATACGTAAGTAAAAGATCTAATTCTCTAACTTCTATTAAATTTTGAGTCATTTCCATTGACTGGAAGTAGTTCTTTGCGCTACTTCCGATTTCTCAAAAAACTAATGTAAATTTTAAAAGTAATAATAATATTGCGCACTATTATGAGCTTTTTTTATTTGGCGTTCACTTGGTGTGCAATTAATTTGTCTACGAGATTTTATTCTATTTTTAAAACTTTAAGTATTTAAAATGGATTAAAAATCATGTCTATAGCCCGAGTTCCCACCCCTTGTTATTTTATATAAGAATATTCGAGAAAGTTTAGGGGAGATCACTCCCGGTTTATTTTTTTTAATTAAAGAAATCTACGAATGAAAACATTTTTTTTTTAAAAATACAATCACATTAAGCAGAAAGCATTGTAGTAATCGTGTTGCAGTTATAATCTAACTATCTATATATTTCCGAGAAGTATACATACAACACAAAATATACACAGGCATACCTGTTCACGTTGAAGAATGTGTTGGCGTTTGTTGGATAAGTGAACGGTTTATATAGATTGCATGGTTGTAATTCGATAGGCCCCCAGACTAATAGATAACACAGCTTAATGTATTTACATTAGATCAATACGCTGTAATGGTAGAGACTTAAAAACAAAAATATCATTATATCGCTTTACTTGAGGCTCAAAAAAACATACACCATAAAAAGCTGATAGATTAACATAGCTTATTAGTTTAATTCAGCTCATGGGAATATACAACATAAAAAATTTGTACTTATCTTATTTGTATTCGTTTATACCCAGTAAGCTAGTAGATTTTATATTTCTAATATAAGAAAAATTCATTTTCGACAGTATGATTGGACCCATAAGGATAGGGGTTTTCGTTTCAGACTACTATCACCATCTGTTGTACATCTTATATATGTTGTATATAATGTATATGTTGTATATGTTGTATATGTTGTATATGTTGTTTATGTTGTATATGTTGTTTATGTTGTATATGTTGTATATATTGTATATGTTGTATATGTTGTATATGTTGTATTTGTTGTATATGTTGTTTATGTTGTATATGTTGTATATGTTGAAACTGTTGAAACTGTTGTATATGTTGTATATGTTGAAACTGTTGTAACTGTTGTATCTGTTGTATGTTGTATCTGTTGTATCTGTTTTTTTCTATTGAATATTTTGAAACTGTTGTAACTGTTATAACTGTTGTATGTAGTATGTTGTAACCGTTGTATCAGTTGTATCTGTTGTATCTCTTGTAATTTGTGTAACTGTTATATCTGTTGAATCTGTTGTAACTGTTGTATTTAATGAATCTGCTGTATACGTTGTATCGTAAAAATTATTACTTTTATAATACCACTGATACTTATTTAAATTTATTTCTGAATAGATGTATAATTTTATATGTATGTTTAGAACAGTAATCTAAAAAATGACGCCATGTTCACTCTGAGTTGGTTATTCTCCCCCATCCCCACCTCCCCACCTAAAACGGGACAGGTAGTTATTGGGTTACTGAAGTTAAACTTGACCCCCTCCCCCCCCCAATGAGACAATCCTTGCTAAGCCACTGGTTATAACTATTGTATAAGTTATGTCGTATCTAATTTTTGTATCTGTTGTAACTTTTGTATTTGTTGTATATGTTGTATATGTTGTATTTTTGTAACTGTTGTATACGTTATATAGTATTTAGTGTATATATTGTAACTGTTATAACTACTGTAACTGTTGTGACAGTTCTGACAATCATAACTGTTGTAACAATAAAAAAAAGTCGTTAGCGTTGAAAATAGTTTTTAATCATTTTTGCACATTTCGGATAGAACATATGTCGCCTTTATTCCCAAATTTAAATACATAGGCCCTACGTATTTAAATGTTCACGTACAAAGAACATCTCATGCTTTAAGCTGTAAATATTGAGTTTCAGGTATGTTAAGTCCTAACCACTTTAACTATCGATTATTTAAAATCACCAGATTTGGTGCAGATAAGCAATCAGAAACCCTAAGGTTTTACATGTATGTTACTAAACCAATCCGTATAATCCTAATCAATACGTTTTTTGATCAGTACATTTCAGCATGAAGTACATTTTAAGCTGCCAATCTTTAACAATTAAATGTGATATATGACTGGATGAAAATATCAAACTTGAACTATTAAGTGAATTGTTTTTTTTTCTTCAGATAATATTTCAAGAGAATACTGTAATATTGATTTTGGTATAATCTGTCTCCAGGTTTAATGTAAAACATGTCTCTACGTTTAATATATGCACAATGTTACAAATTCACAGTGTTTTGTTTCAAAGAGTAACTGTATGCCTTGTCTGTTTTGTAATAAGAATAATCAGAGTCAGAAACGTGGCGACCCTTCCAGGTGCCCGGGGACAAACTTTCAACTTGCCCCCCCCCCCCCCGTTTGTAGGGGGAGGGGGGGCACTTAAGTGTCTGGGCTATATGGAGTGCACTGGTTATATATTTTCTACAATACGTTCTTTTTCTATTTCGATCGGTGGGCTTTGGATTTGCTTCGTGTTGGGGGTGAAGGGAAAGCGGGACAGGGTGAATAATTAAAAGTTAGGGTATAAATTGGGAGAAAAAAACTCCCTATAACCATAGGGAATTCGGTGTCACCCCCACACACATGATTCTGTCACAACCGCCTTGTGGCACTAAAAGCGTGCACAGGAAAAGTTTTTTCATAAAATGCATTTTAATAACAAGCTTTTATGTAATCTATCTATATACTACTAAAAGTCAAGTTTGTTTACATGTTTGAATATTTATTTTTTTGTTTGTTTTTTTGTTTGTTTGTTTGTTTGCCTGATCGACTATTGTGATATGTTCGACTCAATCTGGATAGCTGTAAAATAGTATGTAGGTAGAGAATAATTTTTTAATTCAGACAGACTGTTAATCACACATTTATTTAAAGACGGTAATTAATTTATTGATTTATTCATAGGCAGAGTAACCCAGTTTTTTTTAAAAGATTAAAACGACCACTACACTCGGCGGGACCGTGACGTCACAGGTTTTTGTTTACTCTTTAGTACAATAAAATGGCGGCGTCTATCGAAGAAAATTGTGTTCCCATTCAAAAGTTTAACGCGTTCTAAATCTAATTTTCTGTCGGTCATAACAATTTTAAACTGTCTTTTTTCATTAGTTTTACAATAAATTTCTCTAGATCTAGATCTAAAGATCAGCTGTTGAAGGAAAGTTAATTTAAGTTATGAATCTAGCCTAGATTCTAGACTAGAATCTAGATCTAGGTCACTAGACTCAATGTACATTCTAGATCTAGACTTAATGTAAATTCTACATCTAGAATCTATTTCAGGCCTTAATTATTTTATATAAATCTTTGTTTAGCTTCAATGATCATCTAATTCGAGAATAAATGGGATTTTTTAAAATCTAGGTTCTATATCTAGATATAGTAGGATTACTAACTAACTTGGAGGCGCGGTCGGCTGCTAACAACAATATGGCGTCCGGACCGGACGAATGACTTAGGACCATTTTTAGGCCATGTTTACCACGAGCAAAATGGCGGGTGTTCACATTATTTAAACATGGTATAGGTGGCCAGGGCTAGATATGCCAGAAAAGCATTTTAAAATTTGCTTTGGAGAGTGAAGGCTAAATTTTAAAGTCAGTGTCATAAAAATTAATAGAACTTTTTTTTTTACGTTTTCAATTATTTTTTCTTAAGCCCTATATGTGAATGATAAGGTTGACTATCAGGAACTCGCGGGGCACAGGGCAGGTGAAGTAGAGTTCATCTGTTTCTTTGTCCTAAGCATATGAAGGGATAGTGTGGTCAGAGACATGCTCGGCTGGAATCGTTTTTTAACGATGCGGGGCACAGGGCAGGTGAAGTAGGGTTCATCTGTTTCTTTGTCCTAAGCATATGAAGGGATAGTGTGGTCAGAGACATGCTCGGCTGGAATCGTTTTTTAAACGATAAAAACATGTTGTCTGAGACTTGGCGGGACACTGGGCAGGTGAAGTAGAGTTGAGTAGGTCACCTGTGACGTCAGTATATGAAGGGATAGTCCGAAATCGGTGTTTTCGGTGTTTTTAAATGATAAAAAAACATCTTTTTGAATGTGGGGTCTGTTTTTTGTGACGATAAGTGACACTGCAGTAGCGTAGCGAGGAAGGGGGGGGGGGGGGGGCGGGTGGGGGACATATGTCCCCGGGCGCCGACCTTAGGGGGCGCCAAAATGGGTTGGAAAAATAAATTGAAAGGTTGAGGGGGGTGCAAATCGAAAGTTTGAGTGGGGGGGGGTGCACATCAAAAGTTTGAGGGGGGGGGGGTTGCAAATCGAAATCTTGCGGGGGGGGGGGGGGGGGGGTTCAAATCGAAAAGTTTGTCCCCGGGCGCCGAGAAGGGTCACTATGCATCTGAGTGACAGACGTGATGTTTTTTGATGGATGACCCCCGAAACCCACAGTTATCCAAGGGATGACGGGTAGTCTAGTATACTACTAAAAGTCAAGTTTGTTTACATGTTTGAATATTTTTTTTTTGTTTGTTTGTTTGTTTGCCTGATTGACTATTGCTCATGGTTGCACTCATCGTGGAAAGCTGTATAATAGTATGTAGGTAGAGAAAAATTTTTGTTTTAAGACAGACTGTTAATCACAAATTTATTTAAAGACGTTAATTAATTTATTGATTTATTCATTGTTAAATTAACCGTATTTTTTTAAAAATGTTAATACTTTGAATAAACTTTGTGGGGATAGTGACGTCCCTTGATGTGTTTACTTTTTTGGTACAATAAAAATGGCGGACTCCATCATAGACTTTGTGGCCCATTCAAAAGTTTAACGCGTTACAAAGCTAATTTTCTGCCGGCTATAACTTAAACAATACGTCCGTTTGCTGTATTTATTACGTTCCAACACTTATATCAATTTTCAACTGTCTTTTTCATTTAGTTTTACGATAAATTTCTCTAGATCTAAAGATCAGCTGTCGAAGGAAAGTTATGAAGCTAGCCTAGATCTAGAGCCTAGATGTAGGTCACTAGACTCAATGTAAATTCTAGATCTAGACTTAATGTAAATTCTACATCTAGAATCTATTTCAGGCCTTAATTATTTTATATAAATCTTTGTTTGGCTAATTTAAGATAAAATTTAATTTGAAAGTTACTAGATTCTACTACTAGACTTAGATCTAGATCTATGCGCGGAGACTCAAAAGTATAGTATAAAAATTCATTTGTGACGCCACGAGTAAATAGCTAAGTTTGTAACGTAGTCCGCTCTCATGCGGGTGGTACAGGTTCTAGACCAATATGTCAATGATATTTTTTTTCAATTTTTTTCTTTTTTAGATGTGAATGATAAAGTTGCCTATCTGAACTTGGCAGGATACAGGGCAGGCGAAGTATAGTTCATCTGTTTCTTTGTCCTAAGCATATGAAAGGATAGTGTGGTCAGAGACATGCTCGGCTGGAATCGTTTTTTAAACG